CCTCCTGTAGTGTACCCCAGAGCCCCTCCTGTGGTGTACCCCAGAACCCCTCCTGTGTGTACCCCAGAGCCCCTCCTGTGTGTGTACCCCAGAGCCCCTCCTGTGTGTGTACCCCAGAACCCCTCCTGTGTGTACCCCAGAGCCCCTCCTGTGTGTACCCCAGAGCCCCTCCTGTGTGTGTACCCCAGAACCCCTCCTGTGTGTACCCCAAAGCTCCTCCCGTGGTGTACCCCAGAGCCCCTCCTGTGGTGTACCCCCAAGCTCCCCTTGCTCTTGTGTGTACCCTCCAGTCCTCTTCCACTTCCCATGTTCTTCCTCCTGTGCACCCCCAGCTCCTACTGTGCTGAGGAGAAAGCACAGAACTCTGTCATGAGGAGCGAGGCCCACGTTTTTCAAGGTGGGGGGCAGGGGCCCAGCCAAGGGCAGGCAGGTGGGGACTCACTCAGACACGTGCACGAAGATGTCCTCAGAGCCATTCTCGGGAGTGATGAAGCCGTGGCCCTGTGAGCGTGAGAACTGCTTACAGACGCCCTTGAACACGGGGCCAGCCGAGGCACGGGCTGTCCTGGGGACAGGGCAGGGGGATTGGCTCTGTGGCCTGGCGATCCCTCCCCAGAATTCCACAGTCACCCTAGGTCCTCAGAGCCCACCTCAGGACTGCGGGACCTTTCCCAGGCCGGAAACCATACACTCAGTCCTCACACCTCCCCATTTGACAGATAAGGAGACAGAGACCGGATGGCTCTTGAAGGACGCAGGACGTGGGTCTCCTGTGTCTCAGCCTTGCTCTGCCAGTGCCCTCCCTCCTGAGGTTGTTCAGATTTACATGGATTCCTGTCATAAACTCTTTGAATGAAGGCTGTCTAACCCAAGCTTGATTACCTCCCAAAATGAGGTGCTCACCACCTCCTACAGCAGACATATTCTCACGCATCACTTCAGTTCCTGACACCCCAGCTGGAGTCTTGCCCCCAACCCTGCTAGTGGTGAAGGATGGTTCTTTCTCAATTGTTAGCTGATGGGCTCGGCTTTGTCGTAACCATCACAGGTCCCTGGTTAGCAGTTCAGCGTGTGAGTGAGTGAAAGACTGGACACTCGCAGTTCTGTGGACTTGAGTTCATCCCAGGGCAGAAGGGTGGCCGGAGCCCCGTCCTGGGCCTGAGTGTGTCCCAGGGAAGGTGGCCAGAGCCCGGTCCCAGGGTTGAATGCATCCTGGGGAGGGTGGCTGGAGCCCTATCCCCAGCCTGAGTGCATCCCCTGGAGGGTGGCTCCTGTCCTGGGTCTGAGTGTGTTCCAGGGAGGGTGGCTGGAGCCCTGTCCTGGGCCTGGTGAGTACTCACGCCGAATATGTCCTGGTCCTCTTGGTGGGCAGAGGGCTGGGCAGGTCCCGAGCTGAGACACCACCTCGCTCCCAGACCCTACTGCCCTCCCGGTGGAAGGGGAAGGTGGGCCAGACTGGTGACTTGGGGGAGTGGAGCGGGGGCACGACGGGGGACGAGGTGGGCTCCGATGTCATGGCGGGGCCAGCAGGAGAGCCTGGGGGGCTCCCAGGCACGGGGGCCGGTGAAGGGCTCTGGCGTCCTTGCGGGCAGGGCCCGGCCTGGCCCTGCTCGGTGGCCTCCCCAGCCGCGGGCTCCGTCTGGTGGAAGAAAGGTGACAGAAGCACAGGTAAGTATGGTGTGGGCCTCACGTCTGAGTCCTTCCAGTCAGCCCTGCAGCTTGGGGCCTGGACAGTAGAATGATGGGTGTGGTGGCCAGATGACAGTCTGGTAACAGCACAAGTATTAGCAGTTCTAATCCAGCAGACCTGGGTTCGAACCTCAGCTTTGTCACATATAACTTGGTGCCTTCAGGAGGCTCCAACACTGCAGGAAAGATTACAGGGTCGAAGCAGCCTGGATTTGAATCCG